ATCAATGGAGGACTTTGGAGTGCAGGACAAATACATAAAGTGCACTTAAGCAAACCTTAATTATACCAACAGAAACAATGCTGAAGATATACTGAACACTGGATTTGAACTGAGAGAGCCAAAGGCTACATTTTCTGGGTCATATTTCATATAATTATCATACATTTGGAATTTAAAACTGCTTATGGTGCGTGAAGAACTGTTGGTAAGGACTGGATCAAACACTATCAACATGCATTTTTAATATATGAAACACTAGGAACCTTTTACAGTTCTGTGTTTTGGAATAAAGTATATAACTTTAAATTCTTGAATAACAAGTGACATTAAAATCAGGGTACAAAATGTACGTTTGTCAAGAGCAAAGAATCAAACAATAAAATACGAGTTTTAAAATCACGTCTGTTTTTGTAAGAGGTTCAATTTCTTCACCGAAAAATACTTTATGTAGCCTAGAGAAAAATAGCAAACAGCAAAACGATTACATAGGGACAGGATGAACAATAAATTGAATTATGATTAATCATATCATCGCTGTCTGGTGTAAACCTTGAATCTTCATATTTTGCCATTTTTATTTTTATTCTTATATCATTACTATTGGTCACCATTTATGTCTGTCTGTGGGTTTTGCAAATAGGCTATTTAACGAATGAAAAGTCTTAAAAAGAGCTTGTGACTAAACTTTGTAACTTCATTGAATCCTCAGACTGTCGGTAAAACCTCATAACTCTACACCGCCTGAACCGCGAATAATTCAGACTGAAAATAATTACAATATATATTATTTAAAATAAACAGAATTAATTATAAAAAATAAATAAAAAATTGTCTGGTTAAAAAAAATAATAAGTACAGCACATTTTCTCTATTCGCCTGCCATTGGTAGGCATGACTTATTTTGGATCCTGATTACAACTGGTTTCATACAAAAAGTAACTGCCAAATCCTTGTATTATTCCAAATGTGAGTACTCCAGTGAGAACAGCGGTAACTGCATACTGTGAAAGCTCTTGTTTTTAAGCCCTTTTTTGGACAGGACTAGTTTTCCCTGAGGAGGTCAGGTTAATTTGTATTTTCAAAGACATACTTTGTGATTTTAATCCTCTGAAATCAAACGCGTCTGTGTTTTTTTCCTCACACAACCAAAAAAAATAGCAAATCACCTACTTTTTGCCCCCCTCTAACTCAGGGTCCTCTGAGAAATGTAATCCTGTCCGAATAGAAATGTCTGCGGAATGACACTACGCTTCTCCTCGTTTATTTTGCCCTTCATCGAAAACCGTAACTAAAGTTAAATTTCTCATTGCTCTTCCTGCTGCACCTTCATTATGGATTTCAACCTTTTTGCCAGCTTTCTGGTGGGCAGTAACAGTTGCTGGTTCAGGATCTGCTGGCCTCCTATCCGACGTTAAAGGAAAATTAATTGAAGGAAAGTCTGATCGCTGACTCACATTCTTACAATAAAACAAGACGGACAAAAAAAATTTGTAGTGAGTTGTCGCTAATACCAAAGATAAACACATTAGCCTTTAAAGCCCACAAGCTTTAGTAGCCTCCTCAGGTCTAGCAGAGAGCCATTGATTTTGCTGAGGTGTGAAATGTTTAAGCAGAATATTGATGTGCTTACAACATAATGGAAGAACAGGCCTGACCTCCTCCATCCTTTACTCCGCTTCGCTCCCCACCCATATTACAGCCTCGCCTCCATCTCGCTGCCCGCATTGTGTATCCGTGTTGGCTTCCAGACCAGATCAACTGGAAAATTACACGTCTGGCCGTTTAAGCTCCATTGGCGAAAAGTCTGTTGTCGGGCATCAACTCAAAAGTGGCGAGAGTTCATTTAGCGTGTTCGCCGGCAGAGGGGGAGGAGGAAGAGTAATAAGTAATAGAAGAGCAACACACAGGCTAATACATCGGAGCAATTAGCCGCAAGCCGAGGCTTCTGTGGCGTGACGGAGGCCTGAGGGTAATTGCACACCCCACTCATCACTGCCTCTAGTTAATACAGAACTCTGCACCACAGGGAGAGGGAGAGGGAGAGAGGGAGAGAGGGGGGGGGGGGGGGGGGGACTTCCTCTTCCTCTTCCTCTTCCTCGCCCCTGCTCTCTACTTCCATTCCAATCATCCCTGAGCACCACTCTGCTTCACAGTGAGCCCACTCTCTGTCTTTCTCCCTGGAGATTGGAGTGTGCACCCTGGTCCTACCACCTGCTGAAAATATGACAGTCTGTTTGAAAAGCCCGGGATGGAGTGTTCAATCTTGAGCTCACACTCGGAATACGGCCTCGTCTGCATATTTGGTGTGCGCTTTGGCTCATGATGGATGGCAGAGAAGGAGCGGGAAAAGGAGAAATCGGAAACATTCCTCTCAAACGCACTTGGCACTTATGGAATTACGCAACAACCGGTGGTTAAATTACATTTAGTGACACCATGAAACCAATAAAACTGACTAACGTAAATCGCTTACAGTTGATGTGGAAATCAATTTTTTAAAATGTATTGGTAACACTTTAGTTTAGGGTCCAATTCTCACTATTAACTAGTTGCTTATTAGCAGCACAAATATTACTAGGATATTGGCTGATTATAAGTACTTATAAAGGACATATTAATGCCTTATTCTGCATGATATTCTACAATCATACCCAATACCTAAACTTAACAACTACCTTACTAACTATTAATAAGCAGTAATTAGGAGTTTATTGAGGCAAAAGCCCTAGTTAATAGTTAGTTAATAGTGAGAATTGGACCCCTAAACTTAAGTGTGACCAAAGTATCTGGAAATAAATAAATAAATAAATAATTTGAATAGTCTATAAATAATTTGAATAGATCATTTTCTTTTTTGTTTAAAATCATGGTTGGTAATTAAAATCATAGTGATTATTTGTTCAAAATACAGTAAAAACAGTAGTATTGTGAAATATTATTACAATTTAAGATACTGGTTTTCAATTTGAATGTATCCTAACATGTAATTTATTCCTCTGATGTCAACACTGCATTTTTTTTTTGGCCATTACTCCAGTCTTCAGTATCACATAAACAACTAATGATTAAATAAGTAAATAAATGTGCAAATAAATGACAAATAACTTATAATTACATTAAAAAAGACACGACTGATTTCCCCCCCAAAACCATTAGATTTGCACAGCTCAGTTGGAGGAATCCGGATGAGGTTATTATTTCTCTAGAAGATCTTTTGCTCAAAAAGACTCTCAAAAACAGTCCCTTTCGAACAGGATCATTTGGACAGCGATAAGCTCAGAAAGGTTTCACCAGGAGAGTAGAAGTCCAATCAGTGCCATTTTAGGCTTTTTTTAGTGAGCCCTTTTCTGCCATGAGTGTTCACACTGCTCATTTGACACTAGGAGAAACTCTAAAAATGCTGTAAAAAAAAAAAAATCTTGCAAAGCAATCTAATTCAAAAGTCACTTCTTCATTTCACGCAACAGGGAATGCATCATGATGCAGCAGACAGAACATAGCCATACTGTGTTCGCTGTGACAGATGCAGCAAAACCAGACTGTTCTGCAAGCCCAGTTCTCACAGATAAATGGTGACTCCTAAAACAGTGCCATGTGCCTATTGGTCCCAAATACAGTTCTGGAGATTCGCACAACACGCATGCATTTCATTTGTCCTGCCGTGTTATATTTGAATGTCACCTCACCAACCATCCAGCATCCAATATCTTATATAAGGGAGAATGCAATAAACTAGCTGCATGTGGTTAAAAATACAACTGACTAATATATTAACACTAAGTAAGAATTTTTTTCATTCGCATATCATCGTAAAATTAAATATGGCACAAAAGAAACACAACTTGGACGGTGAAGGACGTTAAAGGGAAAGAGAAACGTATGTTTGCTAACAGCACATACGGATTAAATTAAGACCCGGTTATGAAATAACCACCTGCACCTAACGTGACTCAAATGTTTTCAGGCTACATGAGCTATAGGCGATACAGAACACGCATGCATCTACACCCCCTACCTGTGGACAAGAATAAGACATTACATGAGCTTTGCAACTTGACATTCAAAACTCCTCCAATTTCTGGTCTTTGGTTGTGAAGAAGAGAGAAGTAAGGGGGGATAGAACAACACTAAAATGTATCATTGAACTAATGTAGAACAGTGTTTGTTAATGCATCATGAAACAACAATGACACATGCCACCTAATGGCTTCATGGTGATTCTCGCAGGACATTTTTTGCATTAGAATGAAATGTCAAGAAATCCATATGCACATTGAAGACAAATAACATGGTTTTGATGACCTGCAGTGATTCAGAATACTGTATACATATTGTTTTCCCCTGGTAATTGGACACATCTTTGCTGTTAAATTAAATTAGTGTTGTAACAGAGGTCTGGTGTATTTAATACCTTTAGTAGTCTTTAAAATGGTAAAACATCTAGCCAAGGAGAGAGAAAAAAACCCTGCTGAAAACGTGGGTAGAACATCTTGTCATGCAGAAAACCCTATCAGGGTGTGCTACCACCATGGGTAAAATATCTTGTCAGGCAGAACTAACCCACAACCCTAACCCTAACATTAGAATTAGAAGGACTATTACAGCATATCGTTTGTCTAAACACAATTTCGCATCATTTCATACCATCATTTTACATAAGTCCTTGCACCGATGCAAACATTCAAGTAATTGCATATGCAAATAAAGAGGAGAAAGTGAGCTATCAAATTCACGATGGGGAGAGTCGTAGCTCTGGTGCATTGCTGACCATTACTCAGCATCGAAAGAAACACATAGAGATCTTTGCACTGGGACGCACATCACACTACTTATAATAATAACAACCTATAGTCTTCAGATTGTGCTTGAGATTAATCTGAAATCAAAAGATCGGCAAAAAAAAAAGAAAAAAGAAAAAAGAAGCCGAACAGAGAGAAATAGTTTGTGCTGCACAGTCAATTAATTCCAACAATCTAGAGAGTCTTTTAAGAAAAGCTTACCTTTCCTCTGCGATGCTCCTTGTCCTCCGGTGTAAAGTGCCAGCCGGTGGTCGTTTGGTGAGGACAGGGTGGGATAGCTCTAATTAAAGCGGCATTAAAGATCAGACAGGTTCGGTACGGTTGCACAGTACCTTAATGTTCTTAACAATGTGCACCAAAAAACAAGATGCTTTCATTTTCTTTACGCGTTACAATTTACCGTTACTTTTGCTTTCTCGCAAAAATAGTTCCCATTCTCGTGTTCGACCCTTTCCCAGGTGCGTCGAATCAGATATCTAGTTTCCTTGGCTTTTCAGTTTCACCTGGCAATAAAGAATACATATCCATATGCTGCTGAAATACAGGACAATCCAATCCGTCAGAGGAGTAGATCCTCGAGTAGGAACCCTCTTGCAATATCATCCTGATAGATGGGTGAGTTAGAAGACAAATACACACGAAGCGTCTGCTCGTCTTGGAGCATGCTGGAGAGTGGGCGTTATTGGGGTAGATCTTCACGGCTCACTGCCAATAAGCATGCATGCCTCCGCCTGAAGCGCTGCTCCTTTACATGCACACAAACAGGCTTTTCTGTCAGTGGGGATGGACGAAACTTGTGACTTTGAGCTTGGTAAGAGGTAAAAAGGACACATCATTACTCAGAATACGATAGGGGAACTGAACTCAGTTGAAACTAACGGATAGTGCTGAAATGGTTACCTAGCACGTGAGCGCGGGTGCGAATAAACGATAATCTGACCGAAGAAGCACAGGCGCGGTGATTCAAATGTCAGTGCTTGTTCAGCACCAAGGACAGCGCACAGGAACTCGACACGTTTAGAAACAGATTTTGTGCCTGATTTGTATGACTGTTTGTAAAGCATTTACCAAGCGTGTCTCCGGCAGAGGGATGGGGATTTTGATTCCATAAATTATTCATTAATGATTTGCTTACTATTTATTTTACATTTGACTACTTTCATTTCTGTAGTATTTCTTTCCTGAATACCTCTTTTAGATAAAGCCATGTTTATTCCATTTTGTCTCTTTATTTCTATTTTATATATATATATATATAAATATATATATATATATATATATATATATATATATATATATATATATATGTTTATTTCGGACTTTTACTTATTATTATTTTTTTTTTAATCTAGTTCAACGATTTAAATAAAGCCTCCCTGAGCTGTGTGAAAGCTATAACAACAAAATCACCCACATTTTCTGTATTGCGGTAGGCTATATTTGGCAGCTTTTCCTGTTGTATCGAATATGGTATCGAATATCGATCTTTCTCGAGATATCCTATGGAAGTTAAAAAATGTCAGTATCGTGACAACACTATCTATCTATCTATCTATCTATCTATCTATCTATCTATCTATCTATCTATCTATCTATCTATCTATCTATCTATCTATCTATCTATCTATCTATCTATCTATCTATTCCATTCACCTCTATTACAACACTCTGTGCTAAATAACCTGTAGAATACATTTACAAACTTATGTGAACAACTTTTGGTCCCCATAATTCATGGTTTACCAGGGGCACGTTCAAGATCACAACGGTGCGCAACGTTTTGTCGGCGCTGAACGCAGCCCAGGTACACACACACTGTGATCACATGATCTCAAAGCGTTTGTCACATGACCTCAGCACATTGCATATTTAACTCAAAAAGTGGTTATCATTTTGGAAATACAAATGTTGTTGTATTTCCAAAATGTCATGTGCTCTGTTGTGCTAATTTTGGTAAGTGTTCTAAATATACTTAGGATAAATTTTAAAGAAATTTCAAAGTCTGATGGCGCCTACACGGCCGCATTAACAATAGGGCTAGGCGGGGCTAAAGCCCCGGGGCCCGAACAAGGAGGGGGCCCTTGATTGGCTGTGGAGCAGATACTACTAGCCATCTGATTGCCAAAGCCTTACAACGCAACGCCCCCCACAAATTAGCCCTGTTATTTAGTAGTGCTTTGCCGAATATTCCATGCATTATCATGGAATCATTATCATTAATATTATAGTGACCGTTCGCAAAGACCCGCCTTTTTTAGTTATACTGTGTGCCAGGCGGCTCTCACGATCACGAGTCACGCAGATCGTGTTCTCACTCACACACTGAAAAATACATCGACTAGTGTAAGACTAACGTTACACAATTGACTACGAGAGAGAGTTCAGAGCAGCTTACTGTTGATATGAAACAAAGTCTCAATGTTCAAATATTGTAATTTAAATAATTTAAGCAATACCGTTTTCAAGTTCAAGTCCACCGTTCATCTACTGACAGCTTTGTTGTCGGACAAAATTGCGTATTCGGCGTTATGATTGGCCAGGTCGCCTGTCAATCAAACCCCGTGGGCAGCAGGACAGGGCATGGTGAAATGAAACATCACGTTTTAATTTAACATAATACATTTATTCTATATTTAACTTGTGAACGATCGACCTGCTGCTGCACATAGGCCTAGATGGCTGGAGTGCCTGCGCCTTATTATGATATAGCTACGCATCAACCAATAAATCGCCTCCACCCTTCACTCTAGTCTAGACTATTTTTTTTTTTAAAACACAGCGTCATCGTCGACCCCACAAATTTTCGGTAAGTTTGATTATTAACTTGATGGATGTTTGATCTTGCTTTTTGTGTTTGATCAAACTCTATATTCGCCTAAAGGGCTGGCGATAATATATCCGGTAGAAATATGTAAATTTTGCTGAGACATCATGATGTAAGTTTATAAATTAAACGCGTTTTTAATCATTGTGGTTTGGATACAAATTATTTTAAATGATAGTGAACTTGAGGCGGTTTTGCCATGGGTTTTGCACAGCGCACTTGAGTTCCGACCCTGAGTTCTTAAAGTGACAGTAGCTGCTAATAAAGCTGCTGTCGCCATTTGTGTCCATAATGTTAATCAAACATCAGAAAGAAAGTAATTTACTGCCCTTGAATGAATCACTTTTGTAAAATTAATAAGAATGAATGTTGAATTTATAGTGAAAACTATGTATTGTATATTTGATTACTTTATACAATATAATATTATTCAGTGCTTTAAGTTTTTCAAGGTCGATTTCTTATGTGCCTTTGTTCTGTTGTTATTTGTGACTCTTGTCATCGGTAAGCTTGAGATTCTTTTCTTAAGTTACTATTATTTTTTGTGATATTGAAATTGGTCACAAGAATTATGAAATGTTAGTGCCATTAAATTTTGACATGATAAAAATTTTTTTTTTTAGGCGCCGCGCCTAGAGTTGAGAACTTGAGAACCCATGCAGCTTTATAACAAAAGTGTTAACAGAAGTGTCAAACAATCACAAAATAAACAAAACAAAACCAAATAAACAAGTCTTGACTTGAACAAAACCACGAACCATGAACTCACCAACAGCAGATTAAACAAACAAATCTAGACAAGAGACAACAGGAACATGAAGACTATACACAAAAACTAATGACTAACAAGATACACAAATAATAATAATAAAAATAATAATAATCAGATCAAAACACATGAAGCAAAGGAAGCACATGACAAGATCACATAAGTGGCAAGGGAATCACATAGCATTTAGCAAAAGTTGGTCATCAGTTTTTTTTATGATTGAATGTTCTTTAATCAATACCTGTTGTTAATAATTGCCACAAGAGTCTTTTCAGTCATTCAGCAAAAAAAAGAGCACTACATTCCACCATGTCTGTCTCATGTTATTATGAAAACTTAATATGCTCACCCTTGTGGCACAGGACGAATAGGTTACTGCAGGTAATATGACCCAGGGACCTTGGGAATGTCACTTAACCCCAAGAGACCCTGAGAGAATAAGGAAAACGGATGTGAAATCTAACAAAATGGAGGTCTGGTGGAGGGATGAAAGAGACAGCATGCCTGCTACAGTACTCCTTTGAGACATTAAAAGCGATTGGCGGCTGATAAAGAGAAGTAAGAAAGTCGATAGGAGACTGAGTGAAAAGAAAAGCTGAAGGGTTAGTGTGAAAATACACAAACACTCCGGAAACAAAGCGTGCGTCTAATGGGTCGATCACTGAATCAGAAAGAAAGCAAGAACGATGAAAAGTGAAACAGGTTGGTGTGTGCTGAAATAATAGAAATAGCTGACAGACAGGAAAGGAACGACTAGAGATAATTGATAATAACTACCTTGCGGAGTGTCAGAAGTGGGGGAAATGGAAATGAATTCAAGACTTCTTCATATGTTAATTTTCAGGCACCTTCAGTTTTTACTACATATTTGGAATCTGCATGGAATCAATATCAGCCTTATTTAACCGGTCTTATTGTGAACAATATGCCACTTTTTACAATCCAGCACAGACATATTTGCCATGTTTTGTAGTTCTGAACCGAATCCTACAAAGCGCAATGGGTTGTGGGCAATATTAGCCTTTAGAGTGAGCACGGATCCACACTTCGAAAAATATACCGACAAATATACCATCTGGGGACTTCTGGCATACTCTTTTCAACATACTATGCTTTAGGACACACTTATTTTAATCTCACATACTGTTTAGGATGGATAGTATGGACATTGAGAAGCAGGGTAAGTAAAAAAAAAAGAAAAAAAGAAAATTAATTGGGAGCACAATTTTTTTTTTTTATTACAAGCTTTGCATAATTAGGTTGGTAAATACTATATAGTCAGTGACCATTATTAAATTATAAAATATTTTATTGGTTCTAATATAATCATCCAATTTAATGATGACAGACTATGAATAATAAATGATTTAATCACATAAATAATACACAGTTAAATGAAGAATGAGGAGGTTTGAGATTAACTTGCAGCTAATATTGAAATTGGCCATTAATGCACTGTAATTAATATATTTATTTTTCTGATTTATTATTCGTTTAAAAAAAAAAAAAAAGATCATACAAATATTTAAATATTATTTATGTATTTCTACACTACACTTACAAAACTTGCACAGTTTTCTTATATTAAGCGCTATCATTTGATATCATGTCACAGTATTTATGTAAGATGTATGACTTATGCAAACAGTTCAAGAAAGTTTCTGACATCATAGAGTTCACAGAGCAGGGCACTCACTGCAAATCACTCAGACCAAAACTGACACTGGTATTCTAAATATCAATCATATGTGTAAGCATGGGTCAGCAAGAGAGGACAGGTGTGTGTAAGGTGCCTGCTGCCATGTAATAATCTGTTTAAACAGTCTCAACCCTGAGGGTGGACATCGTGTCAGTACCTCTTCTGTTTTACCTATAAGATCTGGATTGTGCCGGTCTTCAAATGTGCTATCTGGAGCAAACTTGTATGCTAGCCAAGATCCATCTCTGCTTTATCTTGAACAGTGACTCTCAAATTGATAGTCTGCCAAGGATTGCCTGATAAAAAATAAAAAAAAATAAAAAAAAAACTAACTGCAAAGTAATTGCAAGTGACAAACAAAAATGTAATTGAATAATCAATCGCCTCATTAACTGATTGTGTTAACAATAATTATATGATAAAGTGTTTTTAATGTAACTGTTACTGTATGTGTACATAAGTGTTCAGTCCAACTTCGTATCTGGGGTCTTTAGCTATATAATTAGCAGTAGTTAATGTCAATATAATTAGAACAAACACAGTCTGGCAATAATATTGATCAGTAAAGCTCAAAACCACATTAGTAAAAGGAATTTGTAATGAA